GCTGAACCTGACCAGCAGCAGCTGAATCAGGGATGCCTGGGGCAGAGCCGGACTATCGTAAGGGGGGGCTATGAGTGGTCTGGGGTGGCATCCCCTCCCACCCCACTCCAGACCCCTCATAGCCCCCCCTTCTGATAGTCCGGCATATCTGATAATCCGGCACCCCCTGGGTCCTAAAGGTGCTGGATTATCGGAAGTTTACTGTATATACCAGTTGTTGATCTACTCTATGCAGAGTTACCACAGTGGTTAAATGTACCTTATGTGAATGCAAAACATTGCACTCCCAAGAAAATTGAAAACCACAATAATAGAATTAGTATTTGTTGTGAAATCTGAAGGAGGAGACACTTGTGGTAAGAGGAGGGAACAGAAAATGTATTGAACTGATAAGCATCATCTTCCAAAACACGGTTCAGTGAAAGGGTGTTAGTAATAAACCAAAGCTGTAAATAAGCTGCATAGCATTTGGGGTCAGTCTTGTCCTATTTGCAGAATTAAAAAATAAAATTATTGTAAAGTAAGCACCAACAGGGCCTTTAATAATCTTTAAATAAACCAACCCTGTGCATTAATGTCATTGTCTTGGGCTTTAAAACTTTTTATGAATCCCCCACATCCTACACACTCTGACAACTTACTAAAAAGAGCATGAATTAAAATATTTATTAAAAGTTCTTAAGCACAGCAGGACTAAGTAATGCAATATCAGAACTCCTTGAATCCTCAAAGCTCAAATCATCTTTGTGCCAATATGATTGAAATTGACAGATAAATGGCACCACGTTCTTCTTGGTGTTGAGTTGCACATTTTCAAATCTTAATCATACTGGCATTTGCTCCTGGGAGAGGAAAACTAGTCCATAAGGTTCTTAGTGGCCTAAAAGCAAGAACATCTGCTGCAGAGCTATGAGTGAGTTGTTGGCTGAGTTTAGCAGAAAGGGAGCTTGCACATGATCAGTTCCTTTCTCAGCACAAGGTGTCATTGAAGCCAGGAGAATTTAAAATGTATTACAAGTTGCAACAAACTGTAGCTTACCCAACATAACTTGGTTTTCGTGTAAACTCTGCTGAAAGTAAATATGAATAGTAATCTAATTTTGCTAAGGAAACTACAAATGCATATGTTATACGTAAAGTATATAAAAGAAGACAGATTACAGGCAGTCCCCGGGTTACGTACAAGATAGGGACTGTAGGTTTGTTCTTAAGTTGAATCTGTATGTAAGTCAGAACTGG